CGAAGTGGCTGCTAGCGAGTGGCTGCTTGCTTAAACCTGGTCTCACAAACTCCGCATTTTCATTCACGTCTTCACATTACAGGTTTCAATAAACGTTTAGTAAATTATGTCAATGTGAAGAAAATGACCCGTATTATGCCAACAACTGGTTTTAGAATTAATTAGTTTATTTCCGATGCAAAGACCATATAAGTGAATCAATATTAATACAAAAATATGTCATCTTTAATGATTCCTCATGGGGTTTTTGATTATGTGATTACTTGGCCGTTTTTTTTTAGTGATTATTTACTTACTAGACCAAATATTTCATGATTATTTGATTATCTAGTATTGTATTTTAGATAAATTGATTACCAAGTTTAAACAATAAATTTGTGTGTATAGCATACATATAAAATTTGGCTTGAAAGACGTTATTTTTTTTCGCCTCGCTCTGCTCGGTAAAATTGTTAAGAATTAAGTCCGAAGATTGAACGCGTTTGTCCAGTAATCTTATTTAAATTCATACAAAAAAGTTATATAAGTATAACGAAATCAGAGATATATCTTTTAATTAGATTGGTTCGTCTAATTTAGTATTTTTATCTGAAGTAAATTTACTAACTTCTTTAATAAAGGATTTGAACAAGAATGTGTCCATAGTACACGAATGCCCCACTCGCACTATCATTTTCTATGTCCAGTGGACCGTAAATTGCGGTCAGACCTCTAATTTGGCATTAAAATTAGAAATATCATATCATATGGAACATGTGTACTGAGTTTCAAGTTGATTGGACTTCATCAAATACTACTTTGACTAAAAACATTAACCTGAAGCGGAACAGACGGATGAACGGAAGAACAAACGGACGCACAGACCGAAAAACATAATGCCTATAAATGGAACATACATTCACAAAATGTGCTGAAATTGAATGAAGGTCTTGTAAATCTCAATTAGATCATAACAGGCATATCCAAACAAAGTTCCCTGAAGTCACAAACAACTTCCCTCACTTGTAGATCTATTGCCACTACTTCTGCAATATTGTATTTATCAATAATAGTATAAATAGAAATTGTATGCATGTAAACTAAAAACGATCAGGGTAAACTTATCAATCCTTTAAATAAACTTATTTTAAAAGGTTACCAATTGAACACTGTAAATAGATCTTTGAATATTGTTTTTATTGGTATAAATATTAATTTTGTTATCAGTAACTTAAAATTATACTACATATTATTGTTATACACATCAAGGTACTATAATCTGTCGATACCTATGATTTTGCATTGCACAATGTCGTGTCTTTCTCTGACTGTTAATGACGTCTTTACACTAAATCCATTGGATGTTGGATATGTACTGATTGATATTTTAGTCTAAGATACATGATTTTTGTATTAGTTGTTATTGGCTTTAAACTAGCTGTCAGTACTGCGATTACTCTCAGATCTGTACTTTGTGTCCTTTTTTGTTTGTTAAGGATGTATAAATGTCATATTTGTTTTTCGTTTTATTGTTTTATAAATTAGGCCGTTTTTTCTCAACTGAACTGTTTCATATTTTTCATGTCAGAGCCTTTCATAGCCGACTATACCCTACTGGTTTTTTCTCATTGTTGAAGGTTGTACGGTTGCCTATATATAATTGCTTACATCCACTTCATTTGAACTTTTGAGATAGTTGTCACATTGGCAATCATACCACATCTCCTTATTAAAATGTTGAGGGGGGAGGGGTGGATGAAATTTGTATTTCTTAGGAAAGTTCCAATGTTTTCCTCCCAGGTCACCCAGTTTTAATTGGATATTTTCTCATTTTGCTGTGCCCTTGGATTTGTGTTTAAGGCCAACCAGAGCTTACTGCCTGTTGGTTGGTAGTTAAAGACCATATGGTAAGCTCTAGGTGTCTTTTTGTGTATTGTATATGGTGATTTGGTGATGTCTTCATGCCATTGGCCCATTACTTTATATAGACAGCTTATCAGTCAACCATATCTATCAAAGACGACAAATGATGGCCAAAGCTTTCCTGGCCTTTTGTATAGTCAAGCGAGAAACAAGATATAAACGGACTTGGCTTGGTATAAACATGTATATTTAGTAAATTCGTATAAATTCAAGTCAAATTAATATTTCAAAACAACATAAAAAAATAAAAGTGTAAAAAAATTTTTTTTTTAATAAATCTTGAAAATATTATTGTGTTTGTGTGTGGCCATGGATAAAGGCATGTTTTTCAGTCTGGGTTAAAAAAAATTATTGACTTCGGGTACAAATCCCTGCCCCACCCCAGAGAATCAAATGGTTGCTTCCTTGGGAACAATAGAGATTGAAGATGTTGAGAATGAAGATCAGGTAATAATTTTATGTTCTGCGGCGACGTTCAAGGAACACCAATCAGTCAATCGATCTTTATGACTATGGCTTCAGTTGTGTAATATTCCTTGTTGTAAAAGTTCCTTTTCTGCTTTGTGTAGACTTATTAAAACTTGGAATAGATCTACGATGACTAATGAACGGTCGTGTATGGTTTGGCGATTTTAAATGCCTACCGATAATAAAATTGACAATGGAAATGGGAAATATGTCAAAGAGACAACAACCCGACCAAAGAGCAGACAACAGCCGATGTCCAGATATGATACGATGCTACCAGACATAGAAAAAACTGTCCTTTTTTCATTGAAAATTAAACTGTTACAGTATATTAAAGAATACAAAACTAGCTCTCTTATCTGTAAATACAAATAAAAAGCTGACATGGGTGAGATTAAAGCTATAAATTCCAATCTCCCAATTCACTTAAAAAGACCATATATAGATATAAGAAGATGTGGTATGAGTGCCAATGAGACATTTCTCCATCCAAGTCACAATTTGTAAAAGAAAAACCATTATAGGTCAAAGTACGATCTTCAACACGGAGCATTGGCTCACACCGAACAGCAAGCTACAAAGGGCCCCAAAATGACCAGTGCAAAACCATTCAAACGGGAAAACTATGCAACGGTATAATCTATATAATAAACAAGAAACGAGAACACTTATGAACCACATCAACAAACAGCAACTACTGAACATCAGGTTCCTGACTAAGAACAGGTGCAAACAAATGCAGCGGGTTTAAACGTTTTAATAGGTACCAAATTCACTCTTATCCGAAACCATGACGTAACATATGACCTTTAATATTGAAGGGCTTAACTTGCATTGTGCCGTGTTTAGGCCCTTAAACAGAAAATAAAGAGATGTGCATGGGACAAAATCGCACACAATACATAGACAAAATACAAATTATCAATGAACAGGGCTTTTATTCCTGTTCTTCATCTTGAAAGTATCTGGAGGGTCTTCAACGAGGAAAAGAACCATTCACACCCTGAAAACAACAGCCACACACTTGGCTATGTGGTTTACAATGTTTTGCTTTATTCTTCACCATGGATTTTTTCTCCAGAAGACCTCAGGTACCCAGCTTCCCTTTGCACCTAGTGCGGACAAATGTATTGCCGTAGATTTTTTTTATTAACTTTTCGGTAATGGTGTGGTAGGGTGGGTAGCTGAGGTCTACTTGAGAAAAAATCCAGAGTGATGTTCGGCTTAGTCTTTTTTTATAATGTAATAAGCTGGCAAATTATGAAAGCTAATGTCTTAATTGATAGGCATAGAAATAAAAAGAAAACGTATGAAAACCAATAACAATCTACCGGAGACAAAATAACGTTGGTTTAGGCAACTAGTATGAAGGTCTGGATGCGTATTTCTTCATTTCTGTATTCTTTGATATTCTATTCCATTTTTCTCTATTCTTTAATCAGTGTTTCAGGCCATTTTTCTCTATTCTTTATCAAGTTTATTTCTTTATACTTTTTGCCAATTATTCTATTCTTTTTATATTTTAACACCTCATTATTCTATTTTTTTTTTATTTCTTGGTCCATTGTCTCTATTATTTATATTTTTTGCCCACTATTCTCTATTCCGTAAACCCCCGTCCACACCCAGGCTCTAGTTAAGGTCACCATATAGCTTTTAAAAATAAGCAAAACTAATACCGAGTAGGCTCCGAATGGCAAAATGATTGAATGCTAATCCCGGTTTGAAATGTGAAATTGCGGAAATTTGTTTTTCAATCAATTGATCAAGCAAAACACATTATCGTCCAGCATGTTCGTATAATGGACCTTGGTTATGAATTCTAATCATCTGAGATCAACCTTTCTAAATTTAAAAGTAAAGATCACGCACCCTTATTGTTCAGATTGATAAAGTCTTTTGCATCCGTCGACATTATTTTCGATTAAAGATCTGATAACCACAGTGACTGTGCATGTATACTTTAACGACCGGGGTAGTTTTCTTATATTAAAGTTTTTAAAAGTAGTAACCTCCCTTGTTAATGTGATGTTGTAATCAATCTATTTATTTGTACCATCTATATATAATATTATATTGTACAATTTAAATTTATGATTCGTTTAATATTTAAATATAATAATTTTTTTTTTATTGAAGATATAAACAAAGTAATTTGAAAGGCTTTGATTCATTTATCACCGTAGTTCAATTCATAAGTCAGGCGGTCTATTTTGTCTACATTATGTTGAAAGAACGCCGGGGTGTTTACATTGGCATTATTTACTATCAATGATTGTAAAACAAGAAAGGAAAACATTGTACATTATAAAACGAGAAATAATTAAAATTGAATACAAAATTCTTGTTTAGTGAAATCAAAAACGAGAAACGGAAACACTTTTGATTTTCATTTTGGTTTTAGAGAAATAAAAAACAAAAAATGAAAACACTTTCGTTTTCCGTTTTGGTTTTAGAGAAATCAAAAACGAAAAATGAAAACACTCTCGTTTTTTGTTTTTTGTTTTTGATATTTCAAAATGAAAAACGAATGGACGCAAATATACACGGACCGTAGAGGTTGTCAAAATAGAAAACAATCAAGAAGATGATGAAGATCTTCAAAATGTACTTAGCTATCTAATTGCAAATGAACACAATAATGTTTTATCAGAAATTGTTACTGGATTGACCGATTAGTTTTATTGATCTAATTCATAGTTATGTAAATATTTATCAGACAGTAAAGAAACAATTTATTACTACTATAAATTCCTTTTAAAACTAATGCAACAATTGGTGTCTTGTTAGCTGCTAAGTCATGATTAATTAACTCAATATTAATATAAACTTTGATGTATTTTAATCTTATGCTTGCAATGTAATCAGGTTGTTTAACAAAGATTTAATATTAAAGGCTTACATCAAAGTAAAAATCATAAGGGCCAGGAACATCCAAATACACATACATGTTGGGAAAGTCCATTCTTTAAAATATGAAGTTTGACCTACATTTCACACTTAACTGACTTCAGTTATACATTCAAGATCATTTAAAACTGCATGCAAAATTGTATATGCATGCATCTTGCATACAGTAAGTACATGTATATCAGCATCAAGGCAAAAGCTGGTCACTGTAACCTATATTTTAAATGCTTACATTTATTAAGATTAATGTCAATAGTTAAAATCTAGTCAGGAGCTAGTTATGTAGAAATTGTTATATGATGATGTTTCTTATGTCTAATTTTTGGTCTGAATTGTTAGACCATATTTTGTCATTGTTATGCATTCACACTTACTATGTGGTATGGGTTTTGTACACTGTTGAAGGTCGTACGATGACCTTTAATTCAAATTAATTGCTTCAATCCATGTTATTTTGACTCTGTTGTAAAGTTGTCTCGTTTACAATCATCATTCTAATTTTTAGTTGATGCAGTTTTAATTTTGATTACAATTTTATTCAGCAGCTTACATTGGTGGTCTCTTGTATTGTTTCAGAACTTACCATCTTGCAGTCTTTTTGATGTGCCCAGAGCAGAACACTTAATTGAAGAATTTTTTTTAATTTTTTTGAAGATTTTTGAAAATGCATTTTTTATTGGATTATCTCCCTTTGTACCATGAAAATTATCATTTATGGCCTCTATTGTGATAGTTAGTTTAACATACGTTGTTTTATATAAAAATGCTTTAACAGAAGTAAAATTTACATTTGTACAGATTGATATTTAAAAATTCATTAATTCTCTAAAGAATTAAGAAATTGTAAATTGAGACATTTTGCGAGAAGAATTATATAACTAAAACAAGAGCAAACTAATCATATATTGTAAAATGCATTATAAGCTCTGTCACTGATTCAAACCAAGTAGAGATATGTTTATATTTTAAATGGACTGAGAGTTTGTAAGTTTAAAAAATATGTAATTTTAAGATTTTAAAGATTTTAAAAATGCATCTTACTGGATTATCTCCCTTTGTACCATAGACAATTAATATTTTTCAACACTCTCTCAGGTAATAATGAACAAATTGACTACTATGGTAACCAGTAAGCAAGAATAAAGTTGCAACATGTGTTAAAATTTTTTTACCTTTCAGACACTTAACTTCTGTAGTCCGATACTTTGGATTTTTCAATATGTTAAACTTGAAATTGAATTTCTAAAGATTTTTGAAAAACCAGACTTAAACTTGAGTTTTTCTGCAAGTTGCAAAGATCTCTAGTTAGAAATTAATTGATTTTACTCTAAACAGTTAAAGAGATAAGTTTACTATAGGAATTTTGAATAAAAAAATTGACCCAAAAAATGGTCTTTGTGCAGCTCCCCCTTTTTTTTAGCCTAATGATCATTTATTTGTGACCTAAAAATCAAAATTTTCAACTTAAGTTACCTACTTTGAAGTAATAATCTGTAAAATTCAACTCCTTATTTTATAATGCTTTATTTCATGGAAATATGAGGTTTTCCTTAATCTTAGTGCGTAAATACAACAAAAAAGGGGGAGGGGGGCTGTCTAAATGACCAATTTATTCTATAAAATTAATTTGAAACCGAATTCCCTTTAAAATATTTTGAACCAAAGGGAATGTAATGCACTTAAAAAAATTAGGATTAATTAAAGCGTCTTTTGGGCTGTAGTGTCTGTTTTAGTGCGACTGGATGAAAAGGTCGTATTTTCAATCATTTAATGTGTTTGGCCACCCCCTATTTTCTACATATATCATTATGTGTATTGAAAATATGTGATTTATACTTCATACACATGCTATCTGTGCTATAAAAGTATTTAAACACTCAGAAGTATTATAAAATTGAGAATGAAAATGGGGAATGTGTCAAAGAGACAACAACCCGACCATAGAGCAGACAACAGCCTTATAGTCTTTATTACTATTTGAGAAATCTATGAAGTCTCTGCATTTCAGTAGGATCATCTACATATGAACAAGAGAAAATCACAAATTCCTAACGTTATCATGGATACCATTGATGTAATGGCATCAAACTTGCAGGACTTTCATATGAAGTCAACCTGATCATTTAAGCAAAGTTTCATCAAAATCAAACAACCTTGCATGGAGCGCCATCTGCATGGTTTTCTCATAGATGTCCATTTAAAGTGAATTTTGTTATAGATCACAATTCAATAATACGATACGTTTAACATTCACTATAATGTCAAAGAAATGTGCAGCGTCTAGAAGGCAATTCTTCTTGTTTGCTTTCTTTTAAAACATTCACAACTGACATATGTCTATTCGTCCGTGCTATTGAAATAGGCGTGTTTCCATTATTTGTTCTCAACTTCATATCAGCTCCTTTGCTAAGCAACATTTTTACTAATTTGATTTCTCCAATTTCACTAGCATAAAACAATACTGATCTGCCTTTTAAATCATTCTGATCGATATTTGCCCCCTTTTCTATTAGTTGTTGAATCACTTTATAGTGTTTATCGGTAAGAAGTTTGTGTTCTGGGTGATGTAAAGACTTTTTTTCGAATGGATACGGATTATCATTAGGTTTATCTGTAATTGTAAAATAGTTAAAATTATCGCAGCAATGATATTCTTGTTTGATTACACATGTCATTAGAGCTGTACAGCCATTCGCGTTAGAGACATTAATATCAACACCTTTATCAATAAGCATTTTGACAATTTCATAGTTTCCTTCTATACACGCTGTATGCAATAAAGGTCTCTTGAAGTTACTAATTGAATGAACGGAAAGTCCTCTGTCTATTAAAAGTCGGACTATATGGTGATTACCGCCAATGCATGCAACATGTAAACACGATAGGTGCTCGATTTGATCGATTTGCCTTACACCCTTACTAACAATTGCTCCTTCTTCTATTAGGAATTTTACTATAGAATAGTTTCCTCCAATACAAGCTGCATACACAACTGTTTGACCATACCGAGCATATGCGTTTACATTTGCTCCCTTTTTTACAAGAAATTGAACAGGGTCTAAGTAACCTTCTCGGCATGCGTCATATAATGCTTTGTTTAAATCTGCTCGTCTTTTTAAAAGCATATCAACGATTTCATAATTTTTTCGCTGACATGCTGCAAACAATGGAGTATAGCCATATGAAATGGTTGTCGAAGAAATATCAGTTGAAATGTTTTCGTAAGTCAAGTCGACCATTGCGCCATATTTTAACAACAGTGCAACAACTTCATTTTGTCCTCTCCTAATAGCTAAACATAAAGGGGTTTGTGCAAACCAAAAGGTGCCAGTGGTTTCCGTCGGTATGAAGAAAACATTTAAGTTCATCCTTACAAGCATTTCTTTATTAATTACTAATTTTGTATCTCCATTCATACATGTATTAAACAGATATTTATACTCATTCTGTTTCCTGTAAAAGCTTTTATCAAACTGCGTGTCCGTTATATATCTTTTTGCATTATCATTGTACGGAATAATGGTATAACTTGTACGATTTTGTGTGCATTCCTGAATTTCTAGATACTCCGATAAAGCATCATTTCCGCCAATGTCTGCTAATATCAAAGGTGTGTATACATATTTGATTTTTTTTGAAATACCAACTCCATTTTTCAGGAGACTTTTAACCTTTTCCCACAGACCTAGCCTACATGAATGGTATAACATAAGTTCTTCAATGTTTGTGAGATTATCTGTATAGCCTTTTAATACCAACAGTCTTGATAATTTCATATATCCGCTCTCTAGTGCAGAAATCACAGCTGTCTTTCTATCTTCATTTGATGTTGCTATAGAACAACACTTGTGTATTAGGCAGACTGATAAATCATCTAATCCTTTCATTAAAGAATGAAACAGAGGATATTTTCCATCTTTGTCTGGTATGTTAAAATCTAAACCTTTGTCTATTACAAGTATGGATAAATCAAAGCTATTGTCATTGCATGCAGCGTGTACCAATGTGTTTCCCTTTTCATTAATTTCTGCAACATCCACACCTTTTTCTAAAAGAATTCGTATTGTCTCAATTGAACAATGTGCACAGGCAATTGCGATGAGCGATTTGCCCTTATGTCCTTTTAAGTGTATATCTGCACTGCTGTCTAAAAGAATTGTAACTGCTCTACCAGAGTCTAGCTGAATGGCGCTTAATAATGCTTGGTGTATATCTGCTCCGTTGTCTAGTAGCATTTGTATCAAACTACTATAGCCTTGTTGACAAGCAGCAACTAACGGCAGTTTACCACTGTCAGTTTTCATGTTAACGATTGCTCTGTTTCTGAGGAGCTCTTTGACAGTTCCAATGTCTCCCCGTTCACATGCTTCATATAATGGTGTCGATCCAAACTGTAACAAATTGTTGGTAATGTCAATTATTTGTTTCTGATATTTCTTTGTTTGGTCTATAATAATATTTAGCCCATTAGTTGAGCCTAATTCTTTGTCCTCCAAAGTATTCAATTTGCCTTCATCCCCAACTTTTTCTTCTTGTTTTGCCAAATCTGCAGGAGTGTGTCCACATCTATTTACTTTGTTAATATCTGCTCCATTATCCAAAAGTGTTTGTATGATGTTCACATATCCCTTTTTACACGCTTTGTGTAAAGGTGTTTCTATTTTTACATCATGCATGTTTACATCTGAATACCGGTTGATCAACATCTTTACTATATCATTGTTCCCTGAACAGCAGGCAGCATGTAGTGGTGTCTTATCATCATTATCAACCTTGAAGATATCAGCATTGTTTTCAATAAGCAACTTTACTATCTTTGTTTTGCCTTCTTCGCTAGCAATGGATAAAGATGTTCTCCCTTGCAAGTCGACACTATTAACATCGCAGTCGTTTGCAACAAGTGTTTCAATTATTTTGTCATGGCCACCAAGGATTGCCCCTTTAAGGGAATTGCTAAAGTCCATATCATTTGCTCTTTCAGCAATCAAAATATTTACTATGCTTTCATAACCGGCCAAACATGAAACGTACAAGGGTGTCCAATTATATTTATTTCGTATGTTAATATCAACATCTTTTCCTAACATATATTTCACTAAACTATAGTGACCACAACAACAAGCACAAAAGAGGCCTGTTTCACCGTATGAATTTGTTTCATTTATGGAAGCTCCGTTCTTAAGAAGAACGTCAACTGTCATTAGGTGCCCATCTCGACAAGCAGCTGTTATGGGTGTGAAAAATCCAATCTGCATATCAGGATCAGCTCCAACAGATATGAACCACTCCACAATGTCCTCATATCCCCGCAAACATGATATAATGAAAGCGTTAATTCCATTGTCGTCTTTTGTGTTGACCAAGTCATTTTTCAGTTCCGTATTCAAATTGTTAACTACATCGATAAACTTGGTCCTGTATTCTTTGTATTTCATTTGAGTATTGTTTAAGCAACTGTGTATGTTTCCTTTTTTAAGGTCCGCTATAAGCCTATCAATGTACTTTTGTTCGTCCTTTACCGAAATAAGTATTGTAAAACCACCATGTGCCTTTTGTATTGACTCTAGTTGTACACGCTCACATATTAGTTTAACATTTGCAAGTTTGAGAATCGGTGTCAATAACGTGTTGCCAAAGTAGAAACACAGAAAGTCTAACATTTTATCGTGTATAACTTTGTACTCTTTGTCTACTTTTATAAAGTAAGTATCAACACATGCATTCAGTTTGTCTTTAATTGCAGACCGAGAAGTGTCACGGCCTAATTTGCAACATTCAAAAATGACTTTTAACTTTCTTTTTTCTTCTTTGTCAAACTCGTTTGTTACATCAAATACAGCTTCATTAATTGTGCCGTAGTATATAACACATAGTAATAAAACACAGAACTTCTCTTTGTCAAAAGTTTTCAGTGTATCCCATTCATCAGAAAACGTTTTGTATGGACTATTTAGAAACTCACTGACATCAAAGTGGTCATGCTGAGAGTACAAACAACACATTAATGGCGAAAATTCATATTTCATCACAATATCTGTCAATATTTTGTCATCCTCTTTTACATATTTTCGTGCTATTTTTAATTTATCTGCAGTTGAATAATTTGTTGTTAAATCATATGGTTTCTGGAATGATTTAATTGCTTGTTTTACGTTTTCTTCTTTGAAGATTTCAGTACGACAAGTGGCTAATACTTTTGTATTGCCCTTATCTAAAATGTAGGTGACAAATTCTTCAATTTTCATCCAATTCTCAATATAATTGATATTTGCTGTGTATTTTCCACATATATCATCTACGAAAAAAACCTGACGAACATTATATTTAAATCGCTTTTTGATATCTTTTACATTATTGCACGGTACTATTCTATACCCATTTTCATGAAATAAATGCAATGCTATATTCTGTGCAGTCATTGTCTTTCCCGTTCCGGATACTCCAGACAACAGTACACAATGCTTATCTTCTAAGATTTCTAATATATCTGTTAATCTGTCAGTTTTAATAAAATCTTTGCTTCTCTTCTGCCATCGTTCAATTTCTGGTATATCAGCATCTACAAAACAATTATATTTTATCGGACATGTTAACTAAATCAACCAAAATCAGTGAAACAAACAACGTTTGATCGTATAATTTATCTATTGCATGTCGCCCTTTTCACGTTGCATGGTTACCAATTCAACACTGTAATTAGATCTTTGATTATTGTTTTTATTGTTATTAATGTTGATTTTGTTATCAGTAAATTAAAAGCAAACTAAATAATATTGTTATATACATATGCACTTTCATGGATCTACAATCTCTCGATACCTGTATCTTGGCACTGCACAACGTCATGTTTTTCTTTGACTGTTGATGACGTCTTTACACTAAATCCATTGGATGTTGGATGTGTAATGATTGATAATTTAGTCTTAGATACAAGATTTGTTTTATTAGTTGTTATTGGCTTTGAACTAGCTGTCAGTAACTGCGAATACTCTCAGATCTGTACTTAGTGTTTTTTTGTTTGTTGGGATGTACAAGTACCCGGCTACGTCCACTCTGTGTTTTTGTTAGATGTATTTCTATTTGTAACCACCTGATGAGTTAAGCCTTTTTCAACTGATTTTTATAGTTCGTTCTTATGTTGTACTGTTACACCACTGTCCCATGTTAGGGAGAGGGTTGGGAGCTCGCTAACATGTTTGAATTGATTTTCATTTGTCATTTCGGGGCCTTTTATAGCTGACTATGCGGTATGGGCTTTGTTGAAGGTCGTACGGTGACCTATAGTTGTTAATTTCTGTGTCATTTGGTCTCTTGTGAAGAGTTGTCTCATTGGCAATCATACCACATCTTCTTTTTTATATATACAACACTGATATTTACCTATTTAGTTTAATATCTAAATCATCATAAATGCTAGCATTGAAAGCAATATGTCTCATGGAAAACCGTCGGATATTGTTTTTTTATAGATATTTCGCTATAGCAATTTATTTCAACTCTTGTTTATTTTGTAAAATATTAGGGAAATGTTGAAGAAAGAAAGACTGTTCTTAAAAAATGATTATTACACTTACTTATTTGCTTAAAGCTCATCTATTTCTCTAACATCTAACATTAACATTAAGTGATAATGTATGTTATACATACCCTTTCGAAGCACCTTATGTCATTCACGTTTTTTTCGGGTTTTACGAGTGGCTTGGACTGTGTGTTCATCGTTTCTAAACTTTGGTATTACCTTTCTTTTAAGTTTTTGTTTTGTATAAAGGATACAATTGACCCTTTGGTATAACCTCTTTATTTCATTTGTTATCGCATTTCTATGACTATTAGCGATAGACAATACATTTGCACTGATTACATATTAGAAAAAAATATTTGAAACGTAGACATTTTTATCCCCTCTGAAAAATCCTGTGCTGTTGTTATTTGGTAAATTTGTGGTGTTCATTTCAGATATGAGTTTTATGTTAACATTGCATTATATAACACATATACAACACTTGTCTTTTGTAGCATACGTAACCAAACAAGAGAGCAAAAAATCAGTATTTGTATATGTTCCCTCATTGATAACGGGAAAAGAGAAGTTATGTTGTTCAAATTGTATTCCACTTTAAAGAAATTTTCATTGTACCTTGTCCTTTTTAGGGGATGTTTTTAATGCTTTTATGCTTATGGTTTCTCTTCTTTTTGTTCTAGCTAGCTCTTCGTGACTCTGTTTTTTGGGAATTAAGTTTTTATTAACCCTATACAGAAATTCAGCTATTAAGTTGTTTATCGTACAATTAAACACACCGTATAAGGATGTATATTCCAATAAGGTCTGCCCTTGAATAGCCACTGTCTGGAAAACAAGAGAATTCTGTCAGCTACATAAAATGTCAACATATAATACAAAAAATAGTGTTGTTGGCACCAGGAATTAGAATGTAGCCCCTTACAAGGCTATTAGATAAACAAAGAAAAGCACGCCTCTTTATATTAACTATCTCTTAATACATGTATGCAACACTTTGCAGGTGATTGTTACTCCATTTATCATATAGTATTGACAGAAAAAAAATGTATGTATCCTTTGTCTGAACATACCAATATTTATTGATACTTATATGACTAGTAAATATGACAAAATTAATAGATAAGAGTGAACAATGTGCAAGATTTAAGAGACTGGATCAAATCCATTGTACTTCAAAGAATAGTTAGGGAAGTCGAAATATATACCGGGAAGTTTTAAGGAAACGTGCAGTTATTTTTGTAATAAAAAATTATTGTTAAAATTGTATTTAGCTTGTTCTATACACTAACATGCTCCTGATTCCTTTCTAGGCAAAAGAGAGAATGACAAAGTCATAATCGAATTGGCCTTACTTAAGATGAGCGAAAGTGCGTTCAAAGGACAATCATCTCTCGCTTTACATACATCAATCGATATATAAGTCTTACTTTTACAAATTGTGACTTGGATGGAGAGTTGTCTCATTGGAACTCAAACCACATCTTCTTATATCTACTTAGGTCAGAGCCAAGTTCAATGATCAAATCAAACAAAAACATGACATTATATAAGTTCCCATTTCTGTTTTCGACCAGTTCAAATTTAGTAGTGGGCTTGGAATCTGATACTTTGTAAAGTATATTTAGCATACGATGTCACAGTAGCACATTTGTTTCGGCCTGCATTATAACCTTAACCTGATGTAGCATAATGGAAATTTAACCTCACTATCCCGAAAATAGAGTGACGTCAATCAGGTTCATATGTAATCTCATAGTAGATGTGCACCTTTCTAAATGACCATACTATATATGTTTGACCTTTTCACTAAGATGTTTAGGATGAAAGCTTATCAAAATAAAAACTACAATGATCTTCGACGCGGAAATATACATGTTATGCATAAACAACGGAGATCTGGTACGATTACCAGTGGAACAGCTGTCCTCTTCTACAGTTGAAATGAATTAGATATAAGCATATTCTTTTGAAAACGAATCCAAATGTCAAACAAACATGGTTGACTTTTTTATGTTTTGTACCCTGCTTGGCTAGCTATATTTTGTATCCCAGGATACGTATCAAAACCTCTTGTTGGTGTATTTGATGTCATATGCTTTTACGGTTAATAAATCTTCTTCTTTGAATTACATGAAAAATTATGTATTTGGAATTCATTTTACTTAGATATGAGAAGATGTGATATGAGTGCAATTGAGACAACTCTCCATCCAAGTCACAATTTGTAAAGATATTGCGTGTTTATGTAATACATGTTTTTGTTTTTAAATTGCCATTGATTTGTATACAATATTCTATGCCCTCTGGTTTTTTTTTTTTACCTTGAAATGTTTCCATCTAAGCTATTTACGACTTTTTGAAATTGAAAATAAAAAAGGATATGCTGTCATGTATGAATAAATAACTGCACAACAAACTTTTTGTTAAAAAATTTTCTGCATTCACGATAGGAATTTTCTTTACTTTTAAAAAGGTTTTTTTTAGGCAATGCACACTGAGAAGATTAAAGTGTCCGTTCTAAGGCCAAAAACCTCAGAACAAAATCCGACACAATAATCTTATTTTCGGTTTGTTACCTCTTTCGGGTATACTTTTTCTTCACTTATTCATATTTGATGCTTATATAATTTTTCGTAGTATATTTTTCTCAATAAGTTACACAAACAAATGTAACAAATATTTTAAATGTCATATGTATCAAATATACAAAAGCCACTAATTCTTCAGATTTACCTGTACTGTCGACTGATGCATAATGCGTTTTGTTCGGCGCTGTAAACGAGTCAAACCTTAACAATCCAAGAGAAAACTATGTTAAAGCTATAAACACTGTTGGATTTTACGACTAAAAACAGAAAGGAAACACCATTGAAATATCTTAGAATCAGTGTCCTCACTCTGTGTTACATTTGATGGTGGATTGATGACATCAACTACTTACATTTTCAAGAGTTAAGATCCTTTTATCACTCTGACTAAATGTTTTACCCATCTCTGTGAGTTCTATGTGTACTCGTGAAAACTCTGTATCACCTGAATTGCAAATAACTTCCGCATATTCCACAAGTAGTTGTATCTGCTGTCGGATGGTATCGACCAACTCAAGACCAATTGTTGTTCCTTGGAAGAAACTAGTACCTAGAAATAATAATACATATCACATGAATTACCATACAATACCGAACACCATCTATTGCATATTGTCTGTCTTGGTACACAGTAATTTGATTGAATTAAACCAGTTTTAAGTGTGCAAAATCCTTCCCTTTCCCATAAAAGGTTTGTTTTAAAAATCGCAATGATGAGAAACATACTTGTTTTATAGGAATTCAAAGATAATTGATATGAAGGATATATGTAATAGTCCAAATTAATTCACTTTGATACAAACTAACCACCCAACACAATGTTATCGCAGTTCATATAAATAAATGATAACTTTTTATAAGAGTAAATGAATAAATAGATTGATTGGTTCTTGTTTTTCAACATTTAGTAGCTTGCATTTCATATACATTCAGGACAAAATCAAATTAACAACTAACACAACAGGGAGTTGCTGCAAAGTACGTAAATCAGCAGAAAAACGTAGGTATAATGGATAATGGTTATACTATCGCCTTGCAGCGAACCACCAACACACCCATAGACCCAAAACTCAGAGTGTTGTTACATGTACGATAGTTCTTTAACGTGCAGAGAGATCGGCCCTTACCATACACGAGCCTTTGAGGCTTGGCTTTGGGCATTCAAAGTGAAATTTTACTTTTAATAATCCAATGCTACCATATCTAGTATGGTGTTTGTATTAAATTCAGATTGAGAAAAAGAAATTCATTTTTTCGGAAACCGTTGATTGTGTAATTTTTTTCTCGTGTCTCACAAAATTCTGTGGATTATTTAAATTTGACATGATTAAGCGTGTTACTCGTACCGCCCATTATACATGAATTACATTCCCATGATTTGCATTCACCATTTTTGAGTCGGCATTTCGCTTAAAGTGTGACAAAACCTTTGACGATGGAGGTGGCATATTTACATGTAGGTTTACGCAATATTCAATCAAAATTGAAATAATGAAGTAAATCAGTTAAGAACTGCTAACAATACATATCTTCTAATCATATTCACTTTAGATCGTGTCCCGAGCTTATAGACAAGTTGTCTTTGTGCTAATTAATTTGTAAAATCTGAATGTTTTCAGGATTAACAATAGCGATTAATACACTGGCCTGGCCAATTGCTGTGTCAAATTAATTATTACGATGATCATTTTAAAATTCAACATTTTTTTTTAAGGATTCAAATACACATTTATAGCAAATCTATAAAAAATTTTAAAAAAATGTCCGGGTAACGTATAAGCGTTTTTGGTATTCGATATTCAGTCCTTCCGGTTGTTAACCGGTTTACCGGTAAACTGTTGACAATATTACTGTAAAGTATTCCTAAATCTTCATGTAGACACCTTATCGACCATTCCGTTGCACAGTGTATCCTTGCTCTCTATATAATATGATATCTATATATGAGGTTTACAGAATAGAGAATAAGGCCAACAAAATCAAGAAAAGAGATAAATAGACCAAGCAAAAAAATAAAGAATAGAGAATAATAAGGTTCTCAAATATATATATAAAAAAAAAGAGAATGGTAGGCAGAATTTTTGAAAATAGAAAAAAAAATGCTTAAAAAAATTAGCAAATACCGAATTGAAGACCCCAATCCAGCCTCTCATATATCGCGTGTATCGCATGTTTTCAAAAATACTTCATAATATAAAATTAAATTAGGAAAAAAATAGTAAAACGGCATTTCTTGGTTCACCTTAAGCATCGCAGATTGAGTGAAAACAGACCGTTCCTTTTTTTGCAGATAAAACGAGACAGCTTAAAAATAGAACTGAAAAATCCCTTCAAGACAGTCAGATATTGTTATGGCTAAATACACACACACACACACATGTTATCTTTGTTATATTTTGAATGTATCACAATATATACTATAGTTGTTAATTTCTGTGTCATTTTGTCTCTTGTTGAGAGTTGTCTCATTGCACATCTTCTTATTTTTATATAAACATTTTGGCAAAGTATAATTTTTGGTTTATATTCCAATACTGCTTTAAAACCACTTCAAAAAGATGTGAATGATTTCAGGTCAATTTTAAATAAATACCGCATAGTAAACTATATAAGGCCCCGGGAAGACAAAATAGAATAATTCAAAGGGAGAAACCAACAGCCTGACTTAAACAACAATACTTAACGAGCAATAATTATGGAGATACCAATCATGCCAATGAACTAGACACACTGGCGTACTGGCTCCTATATATAGCTGCTAATATGGATAAATGCATATACTTCGATGTTTTTTATATACCTATATGAAATTATTTCCTTTCAGTACGGTGGGTCATTCTTTTGAAGAATCAACCCGGACGGTACTAAGTTCCAATTAAATGTGCCTCAGGCATAATATAATGACCTGTGTACGGTCATTATTTTCCTTAATTAAAATGCAAACGACAGTTTACTGAAACATTCAACTCATTTGATAATTATTGTGTGATGTTGTCAATAGTGGTTTTTCTTTTCAATTTTCCATTTTCAATAGACAGAAACAATCCTTATCTCCGTTTACTAGATTGAAATACCAGAAAACATGGTTAACGCAAATTTTACTTTTAAAACATTTGTTAACTTATCGCATCAACAAAAGGACATTATGGGGATTACAACTTACAAAGCAAGACTGTTCATAACATTTTTAAAACACGTCAAATTTTATAAAACAAAAATATACTATC